ACCAGTGACGCAGCGGCTTAGAAAAACACAACTGTAGAGAAACAGGAAACAATTGACCAGTGACGCAGCGGCTTAGAAAAACACAACTGTAGAGAAACATGAAACAATTGACCAGTGACGCAGCGGCTTAGAAAAGCACAACTGTTGAGAACCGAGGGAGTGTGAAAGTCTAAAATTAACTTTTAGAAACATTTGTATATTTTTTTAAAAAGAAGTTAAACGTTACCGAAAACAACCAGGAAGATATCAAAATTATACAAGGGGGTCCCAGTTTTTAAGCGCACCCCCCCCCCCCCCCAATCTCTGAGGGAAAAAGTACAGGAATGCCGTTCACTCACGCTGCTGTAGGATTCGACCCCTGATTTTAAGTGTGTTTTGTTTGTTGGCGTGTTATTGTTTTAACTGAGAAGAACCGTTCAGTTTACACCAAGACAATGTGCAGTTGACATCGATTGTTTTTTTTTTTTTGTTGTTTTTTATTCTTGTTGTCTTAAACTCATTGCAGTAAGCTGATGGTCGACGTTGTCCTGACCTATTCAGTGTCTTCATGACGTATCCACACAAAAAAATACCGGATCTGCTTCCTTTGTGTGTTGAAATCTAAAAATAAATCGGTCATTTACGCAATGAAGCGCTCATTTCCGTTTCAACTCTGCACCGGGCACACCAGCGGACGGGAAGGTCAACGAAGTTTGGAGGGAAAAAACGTTTCCTCGCAGCAGGGTGACATGTCATCACATAATAACCCAGTTGTCCCCACGGGCCGGTGACATGTCATCACATAATAATCCAGTTGTCCCCACGGGCCAGCGACATGTCATCACATAATAACCCAGTTGTCCTCACTGTCTCACTGACTGGCGACATGTCATCACATAATAACCCAGTTGTCCCCACGGATCGGTGACATGTGATCACATAATAACCCAGTTGTCCCCACGGACCGATGACATGTCATCACATAATAACCCAGTTGTCACCACGGACCGATGACATGTCATCACATAATAACCCAGTTGTCCCCACGGACCGATGACATGTCATCACATAATAACCCAGTTGTCACCACGGACCGATGACATGTCATCACATAATAACCCAGTTGTCCCCACGGGCCGGTGACGCTGCATTCAGTATGAAACAATAAAATTTCAAAACGAATCTCACTTTAAAAAAACAAAAAAAAAAAACATAATTCCTAATCAATTATGTGCCCAGACTCTAAACAGTCCATTCCTACATGTATTCAGAGGCGTCGCCTCACTGCAAGCGATGTGGCTAACGCTGATTAACAGCAGTGCACCCGGTACTTGGTGGTCTGGAGTTCAATTCCAGCAAGAGCCCAGTCAAGCAAAAACACCACCAGCACCCCGGGTAGATGGGACTCGTTAACCTTGGACGGCAACTCATCTAAGAGAAGGAAACTCTGAAATCAAACCCGGAGATGGAGTCCCGAAAGGCGGATAACATTGATACAATGAAACATTCCGACAACTCCTGCGACGTCCCTGGTGCCAAGCAGTATCATCCAATGATGTTCCCTTGGGTTACCCAGTGGCGTGGAGAGAGGCGATTTGCTGTTGGGAACCAGCTAATAATCCTTGAAGTTTAATCCAAGGCCATGTGGATTTCGTCCTCCGAAGCCCACTCCATCGTCACATTGTGACGGACGGATGCCAGCAAAAAAAAAACCCGTACTTAAAACTCATTGTTAAGTGGTATGGCAGTGAGTGCCTTGCTCCAGCACAATCGTGATAGACTTATGGCAGAGGCGTGACCAGGAGGCACGACTTGGTGGAGGCAGAGCAACGGGCGGTATCGTTGCGACGGCACCTGCAAAGACGCCCCGAATTAATCCTCCTTTTCGGCACAGGCGTTTTCGTTCGCTTTCACTTTGTAGGTGACGCCTTCGATTTGTAGTTGACGCCTTAGAACGTGCGTCAGTTGAGTCGACATGGTGACATGGTAGAGATGCCCATGACATTCCCATAGAATAAGTAAACACTGTTTACGGTATTTTATGTCATTCTGCCGACCAGGATCTGAAATATTTTTGTAAAAAATTGGATTAGTTGGAAAATTAACTCGACAAGGTAGGTCCGCTGTTATTTTAGGATGGTAGGTCAGTCGTTATTTTATGATGGTAGGTCCGCCGTTATTTTATGATGGTAGGTCCGCCGTTATTTTATGATGGTAGGTCCGCCGTTATTTCATGATGGTAGGTCCGCCGTTATGTCATGATGGTAGGTCAGCCGTTGTTTCATGACGGCGTTGCTCTTTGCGTTACGCATTATTTGCCCAAAACGCTCTTCTCCCGAAGAATCTGTATTTTTGTTGAAGACGTGTTATTTTATTATTGGTATTTTGAAAATGAAGAGTGACTAAAGTTATTTTAAAATTAATCTCAGAGGATAACCTCGAGGAAGGAAATTTTGTTGAAGATATGCAACTGACATCTGGTGATGGCGTAGCACTGAGATGATGTGGTGAAATAGTAGCACGGAGATGATGTTGTGAAATAGAAGCACTGAGATGCTGTGGTGGAATAGTAGCACTGAGATGCTGTGGTGAAGTAGTAGCACTGAGATGCTGTGGTGAAATAGTAGCACTGATATGGTGTGGTGGAATAGTAGCACTGAGATGCTGTGGTGAAATAGTAGCACTGAGATGGTGTGGTGGAATAGTAGCACTGAGATGCTGTGGTGAAATAGTAGCACTGAGATGGTGTGGTGAATTAGTAGCACTGAGATGCTGTGGTGCAATAGTAGCACTGAGATGGTGTGGTGAATTAGTAACACTGAGATGCTGTAGTGAAATAGTAGCACTGAGATGGTGTGGTGAAATAGTAGCACTGAGATGCTGTAGTGAAATAGTAGCACTGAGATGATGTGGTGAAATAGTAGCACTGAGATGGGGTTGGGTTTAAAGATTGCTTTGTCCAAATACATGTATATCTATCGAGCAATATTATACCCGTGTAAGTCATAAAAGACAGAAATGTTACATGTGTGCCGATGTATTAAACGACACATTAGATTTAGTAACATTGGTAGCAATGTTTATTTCAGATCATTTCCTCGGGGAGGGGGGTGGCCCTGGGGCGTAGGCATTGCCAGTGGCCAGAGTCGTAGCTTGTGGGTCGAGGAGGAGGGGAGGACAGATGCCACCGGGCCTCAGAGTAGCGTGGACATCAAAATGGTATTTGATAGTATTAAATTGTTTCGGGTAATGTGTTTGAGAGATGAAAAAGGGGGTGGGGGATTAAAAAAATGAATCATGTTCCCTGAATTATTTCCACGTTCCAAAGACTTCATATTTTTTTTAATTTATGTGTGAATTTATCTGTGGGAGTTTAAACACATTCTTTGAACCAAATCCATAGGCTCAATTTTTTAACTGACAATTTAAAAAGAATATATATATATATATTTAAAACTATTAAATGAAATGGAATGATATGGTATGATAATCGAGATGTTATTTTTACAAAAAGTATGTGTGTGTCTTTAAAGCTTCCTGTTGTGTTTTCATCTCTAAAAAAAAATAGAATGTAAAAAAAAAAAAAAAAATTAAAAAATAGGATAGGTTGGGGGTGTTGGGGGTGGGGGGAAGGGGGTGGGGGAAGGGGGGTTGGGGTGGAGATTATTATTCTGATATGAAAAAGAGAAAAGCAGTTGGAAATTCAATTAACGGCAGCTTAAAATTTAAAAAAAAAAAAAAAAACTTTGTTATCCAGGAATCTGTGTTACAAAAGTGGGTACATCTAAATAAAATTCATTAGCGTTCGCTTTCATACTAACTGGTGAACAATGCATGATTTTAGATGCGCCCGTTAAACTCTTTATTTAAAAAAAAATAATTAAATAACGATTTTTTTTGTTACCTTTTTGTTTTATCTAACTCAACACTCAAGGATCGAGTTCGTTACGATTCCTGCTAATAACACTATCTTTTTAAAAGCATGAGGCCGTCTTAAACTTTGTAGGTTTATTTGAATACTTAGTTTAAAAGTCATGCTTTTGTGGTGAAATATAATTAGTCAACAGATTGCACATGTTTCATACTCATATAAAACTATATTGATATTAGAAACCTTTCTATTGATGTCGAGGTAGTTTAATGCAGGGTTATCAACTTCTTTAAACTCGGGAGGTTCCAAAAAAAATTATAATTAAATAAAACAACCGATATATGCGAATAACGGGATGTGAGCTTCGACTTACGTTATTCAGGAGCGTCCAACGTTCGTATCCGTACGATATTCATAATCGAATTGTGTAAGCCTCAAACAATGCTAGCCTTGAATATGCGGATCAGCAAATGTAATGTATCAAGTGTAACAATATTTCATAGGCTCCGATACACAGTTATCGGTTAAACCTCATCAGCTACTATTCTTTTTTTCTTTTTTTTCCTTTTTTAAAAAAAAAATAAATAAAAAAATAAAAATAAAAATATAATATGATTTCGTTTTATTGCTGTAAACATTTTTTTTTCGGGGATGTGGGGGGTGGGGGCACACTTGCTTTGGCGCGCCCCCCCCCCCCTTTCTCGGAGAGATGCCTGTAAGAAACACTGCGTGGGGGAAATAAGATTTATTAGTACAGCGAGGAATGTGACTCTCTTGTACTGTGAGAAATGTGACTTTCTGGTACAGAGGTGAAATTGGACTCTTTGGCACAGCAAGGAAATGTGACTTTATAAGAAAATGGCGAAGCGGGGGGGGGGGGGGGACTTACGGCCCTTTTTTTTTNCCCCCCCTTTCTCGGAGAGATGCCTGTAAGAAACACTGCGTGGGGGAAATAAGATTTATTAGTACAGCGAGGAATGTGACTCTCTTGTACTGTGAGAAATGTGACTTTCTGGTACAGAGGTGAAATTGGACTCTTTGGCACAGCAAGGAAATGTGACTTTATAAGAAAATGGCGAAGCGGGGGGGGGGGGAATTGTCAGCTCATTTTTTTTGGTTTAAAGTTACATTCAGGAAGAGGCAAGTCTGGATGTAGGTTTCAAAATAGCAGAACTGTCCAGTTGTCCTGTGACTTTTCTTTTAAACGCATATCTCAACGCGGATGTTCAACTGCCGAGGCAAACACTTGGATTATCACCCACCCACCCATACCCGTGGCGCAGCCCGTATGTAGGGCTTTGGCCCGCCGCACCACTTCCTTCCACTCAGACCCAACTCATGCTTTTTGTTTCCCATGCTTTGAGTCCCAGCTGCTGTAGATCTTTTTCCCCGCATCATCCATCCATCTAAGACTAGGTCTGCCTTGGATTTTCAGACTTGCTCAAACATTCAGGATCCTCGGAGCCTGTGTATTTAAAAAGTTATCGCGTGTTTGCGTGGTGGTTGCGTGAAGTGTCTGTTACAGGAGGATTATTTATTTCCATGCAACATGTCTCGGCTATTTATTTATTTATTTATTTGTTTATTTATTTGTTTATTTATTTATTATGATTACTTTAAAATAAACAGTTTGGTTTATTTATTTATGGGGGGGGGGGTTTACATTTCAACGGACCACGTTAAGAATAAAATAATGATATAATAATGATATAATAATAACCAATGATTGTTTTCGATGATCAAAATGTACAACACACTACGCGGTACTCAAAAATGTACAACACAATCCCCGGTGCTCAAAAATGTACACCACAATACCCAGTACTCAAAAATGTACAACACAATACCCGGTACTCAAAAATGTACAACACAATACCCGGTACTCAAAAATGTACACCACAATACCCGGTACTCAAAAATGTACAACACAATACCCGGTACTCAAAAATGTACAACACAATATCCGCTACTCAAATTTCAGACAGTGAAATGTTAAATGAAGCAAATTTTTTAAAAAAAAGCAACGAAAAGATCACTAGAGGCGGGGGTGAGGTCTCCTTTAACATGGCGTCTTAAAGTTTGGCTTACAATTTAAATCACGGCATCATACAATAATATGTTGTCAGCTACCTGGAGTTAAAAATATCATCAATAACATGTCATTAGATATGTCATCAATAACATGGCATTAGACATGTCATCAATAACATGGCATTAGATATGTCATCAATAACATGGCATTAGATATGTCATCAATAACATGGCATTAGATATGTCATCAATAACATGGCATTAGATATGTCATCAATAACATGGCATTAGATATGTCATCAATAACATAATATTTGAACATTAAGTTTTCATACGTTTTCGTTTCCAAAAAAATTTTCCCTCACTTAAAAGTCATTTTCAAATATGTCATGGTCAAGGTCACTTTGATTCTATGAGAATGTGGCCATGACTTGAAAACGCTTGAGAACCTGTGCACTAAAGCCACCGAGGTGAGTAATTCCGCGCAGCTAACTATATTGTACAGATCCTGGCAGTAAGTGAAAGTGTGTTCAAATCTGTGGCTTGCTCAAATAAAAAAAAATAATAATAAAAAAGAAAAGAAAGAAAATTGATTCTAAACAAATTCCCGGGAAGTATTTTGTTTACTAAAAAAAAAAGTGCGGGATCCCGGGATCTCGTCATCCCGGGATCTCGTCATCCCGGGATCTCGTCATCCCGGGATCTCGTCATCCCGGGATCTCGTCATCCCGGGAGAGAAACCCTAAGCACTTACGACTTGGCGCGGAAAGTAGAAACCAGCAGCTCGCTGTTTAGGGCAGCAGTTCTCCACCTGTGGGTCGCGACCCCCTTTGACGGTCGAACGACCCTTACACAGGGGTCGCCTAAGACCATCGGAAAACACATATTTATGAAGTAGCAACGAAAACAATTTGATGGTTGTGGGGTCACCGCACCATGAGGAGCTATATAAAATGGTCGCGGCATTAGGAAGGTTGAGAACCACTGTTAGGGGAATGTCGTAAAAGGATGTTAATTCAGCCAAAATCTAATAATATAACCAATTCGTGACACGTTAATTTTGTAGAAATTCTGCATGTATCAGTGGGTATGTAAAGAAAAACAATTCCCAACTTTCCATATACATTTTTACAACTGTGTACACTTCAACAACTTTTGTTTGCCCCACTCAGTGGTTCCAAGCTGGTGCACTCGTGAACCATGTCAGAGCCCTCCAAGCCAGCCCTTGAACCCAACCCGCCCCCGCAGGTCGTCGATACGCCACCGCAATATGGGGCACCACCACAGCAGTACGGGGCGCCACCGCAGCAGTACGGGGCGCCACCGCAGCAGTACGCCGGACCGCCTCAGCAGTACGCGGGACCACCTCAGCAATACGGGGCCCCACCCCATCAGTACGGGGGACCACCGCAGCAATACGGAGCGCCGCCCCAGCAGTACGGGGGAGCACCTCAGCAGTACGGGGCGCCGCCACAACAGTACGGGGGACCACCGCAGCAATATGGAGGACCACCTCAACAGTACGGCGCCCCACCGCAGCAGTACGGGGCACCACAGCAGCCAATGGTAGGTTGTATTGACTCAACCACTTTACGTGTTCGAAAATAACTTCGAGACGGAAAATACAACAAAAGGCCGATCCTTAACTGCGACAACAAAATTTATACTAATCAAAAGTGTGCAACACATTCTATTGTTACGGAGAGAAACTCATTGAAATAAGTCGTAAAGTTTTATCGGTAACGAGACAAAGTTTCATTTGCATATTCAAAACCAGAGTGGGCGTGTCATAGCGTGGACTAAACTATCGGAGAGTTTGGACACCGGTAGACAGGACTATACACCGCGTGACAGTTTGGACCATACACAGTGTGACAGTTTGGACTACACACCGTCTGACAGTTTGGACTACACACCGTCTGACAGTTTGGATTATACACCGTCTGATAGTTTGGACTATACACCGTCTGACAGTTTAGACTATACACCGTCTGACAGTTTGGACTACACACCGTGTAACAGTTTGGACTACACACCGTCCGACAGTTTGGACTACACACCGTGTAACATTTTGGACTACACACCGTCTGACAGTTTGGACTATACACCGTCTGACAGTTTGGACTATACACCGTCTGAAAGTTTGGACTACATACCGTCTGACAGTTTGGACTACACACCGTGTAACATTTTGGACTACACACCGTCTGACAGTTTGGACTACACACCGTGTGCCAGATAGGATTATACATTGTCTGACTGTTTCTTCGATCTCATTTTATGGCATTCACTCACCTTTGCTTTTTTTAAATTTGCTTACACAGACCCATCAGATGATGCCATTACGCCACCTTCTTACACTAACACACCAGCGAGAGTCAACAATTAAAACATTTTTTTTTTTTTGGGCACCAACTTTCCATGTGGAGTCCATCATACACTCTCTCACTTTTGGCCTTTAATTTCTCTCCATTGCTATTCTCATTGTTTTGTAGTTTGAAATATTAATTTTATATTAGAAAATACTTCAATTCTTGACATTGACAATACACACCACAGAATTGTAAGAGAGGAATGTTATGATTTTTTTTTTTAACAAAGATCTTTTTTATAGTGCACCTTTGTGTCCACGCAGAGCCTGATAACAGGTTTTACATTTCAAATAAATTGTTTTTCTTGTTATGTAATGTCCGTTGTGGAAGGCATTTAGCCGAAACCTCTTTTTAATAGTTCCGTCTTTTTTTTTTTTCCAAACCGAAACATATTATATTGTTCCTCTGTTTGTTTAAATGTGTTCCAGGCCACAACATCCACCAATGTGGTTTTAGTAGGGGGACAACCAACAACGAAAACCGTCGTGGTACAACAGAGGTGAGTACAAACACATTCGTGGTACAAAAGTTGTAAGTACAAACACAGTCGTGGTACAACAGTGGTGAGTGCAAACACAGTCGTGGTACAACAGAGGTAAGTACAAACACAGTCGTGGCACAACAGCGGTGAGTACAAACACAGTCGTGGTACAACAGAGGTAAGTACAAATAGTCGTGCTACAAAAGAGGTAAGTGAAATAGTCTTGGTACAATAGAAGAGAGTATAAACACAGTCTAGGTACTACAGATGTAAGTACAAACCCAGTCGTGGTAGGTACAACAGCGGTTAGTACCAACATAGTGTTGGTACAACTAAGGCACTATCCAGCGTACAGCTGAGTTACAATTCACCGTACAACAGAGATAAAATTTGTTGTACAACATAGAGGTAAAAGTTCCCAGTACAAGAGATGTCAAGTCATTCTGAAATTCGGTTAAGTAAGAATGAAAGTTCTTCTAGGCAGACATTAGATGAATAAGGTTATGAAGTGTTGACTTGATTGTCTAGAACTTTATGAAGTGTTGACTTGATTGTCTAGAACTTTATGAAGTGTTGACTTGACTGTCTAGAACTGTATGAAGTGTTGACTTAACTGTCTAGAACTGTATGAAGTGTTGACGTGGCTGTCTAGAACTTTATGAAGTGTTGACTTAACTGTCTAGAACTGTATGAAGTGTTGACGTGGCTGTCTAGAACTTTATGAAGTGTTGACTTAACTGTCTAGAACTATATGAAGTGTTGACGTGGCTGTCTAGAACTAGTGTTGACGTAGCTGTCTAGAACTTTATGAAGTGTTGACTTGACTGTCTAGAACTTTATGAAGTGTTGACTTGACTTTCTAGAACTTTATGAAGTGTTGACTTGACTGTCTAGAACTTTATGAAGTGTTGACGTGGCTGTCTAGAACTTTATGAAGTGTTGACGTGGCTGTCTAGAACTTTATGAAGTATGACGTGACTGTCTAGAACTATATGAAGTATTGACGTGGCTGTCTAGAACTATATGAAGTGTTGACTTAACTGTCTAGAACTATATGAAGTGTTGACGTGGCTGTCTAGAACTTTATGAAGTGTTGACGTGGTTGTCTAGAACTTTATGAAGTGTTGACTTGACTGTCTAGAACTTTATGAAGTGTTGACTTGACTGTCTAGAACTTTATGAAGTGTTGACGTGACTGTCTATAACTTTATGAAGTGTTGACGTGGCTGTCTAGAACTTTATGAAGTGTTGACGTGGCTGTCTAGAACTTTATGAAGTGTTGACGTGACTGTCTAGAACTTTATGAAGTGTTGACGTGGCTGTCTAGAACTATATGAAGTGTTGACTTGACTGTCTAGAACTATATGAAGTGTTGACTTTACTGTCTAGAACTATATAAAGTGTTGACGTGACTGTCTAGAACTATATGAAGTGTTGACGTGACTGTCTAGAACTATATGAAGTGTTGACTTGACTGTCTAGAACTATTTGAGGTGTTGACTTGTATGTCCAGAGGTATATGACGTCATTGACTTGACTGTCTAGAACTATATGAAGTCTTCAACTATAAGAAGTGTTGACTTGACTGTGTTTAACTATATGAAGTCTTTGATTTGACACGGTAATGAAATTATTTTCTTGGTCTACAGGCGAGGAACAAACCACGTCCTGCATTTTTTGATAACTCTGTTCTTCTTCCCTTGGATTATCGTATGGATTATCATGGTACGTGGATTATCATTTGGATTATCAGTGTTATTTTGCTTATCATGTGGATTATAATGATAAGTGGATTATCGTGCAGATTATAATAAGTGGATATCATGTGGGTTAGTATGGTACTTGGTTTATTACAACTGATTCATCTTAAAGGTAAGGGGAATATTTTAATGTGTCGCTTATCTTACCAGATAGTCTATGGTAATGATTGTAGCGAAACAATAAGAGGATGAACATAGTAATTGTATTATCATGATAAGTGGATTATCATAATGTGGGGATTTTTAATTATGAAGGAACCCTACGAATGCTGTATTATGTGTATTATTAAATAGGATGGAAAAAAGTGTGTGTGGGGGGGGGTTGTCATGAAGCATGATCTATCATACTACACAATACACCATGACATGAAAAGTGACTACATTATTACTGGACAATACAACATCACATTAATAATGGACAATACGACATATCATCAAAAATGGACAATACAGCATAACATCAACAGTTGACAACACAACATAGCAACAACAGTTAACAATGCAAGATCACATCAACAAACGGCAATACAACATCAGATCAACAAACGGCAATACAACATCACATCAACAAACGGCAATACAACATCACATCAACAAACGGCAATGCAACATCACATCAACAAACGGCAATGTAACATCACATCAACAAACGGCAATGCAACATCACATCAACAAACGGCAATACAACATCACATCAACAATTGACGAGCCTAATCAATGATTCCCTTTTTTTTTCGTCTGACCCAACAGTGTATTGTGGAGGGAGTGTAGCTGTTTCCACCCTGGAGTGTAGCTGTTTCCGCCTTGGCGTATAGGTGGCCGGCCTTGTTGGCAACAACACTTATATTTTAATGCTTTTTAAAAAAAAAAAAAATATACACATTTTCTCGATTAAAGGAATGTTAATATCAGTATGTATAAATCTGACGTTTCAAAAAATTAATGAGTTAATCATCTATCATCTCTACGATCACTTCAATTATTAGTGATATTGTAATTAATTCACCTTGTCGCCTCCTCGTAAACTTCAAATTTCCCATGTCTGCAAGCATGTTTCAACATTTTTTTTTTTCAAATTAAAAGATAACTTTCACTGTCGTACGTAACACTGTTCCGAATTCCGTTGTTTGGTTGTCTTTCCTAGTTGATCAATGAAGATTTATTTTAAAAAGTGAGATAAGATGCACCGCTGTAACCAGAATGTAATGCAAAGCTCAACATCAAAGAAGGGGGGGGGGGGGGGCGGGGAGGGGGGGAAAAGGGAGGGCATTGGAAAATAAAAAAACTCTATGTTTCGCTTGGAGTCTCCCTTGTTCTACCAGTGA